AGGGAGATAACTTCTCTGATGATCTATTTTTCCACGACTTAACAATTTTGCAAGATTTCCAAAAAAAAATGACAAAAAAAAACAAAATCAGCAGTAATTATTTCTTAATAACATGATATTTTTTTATAGCAATAAATAAATTAGGTCTCTTTAATTTCATTATAAATAAAATTTGATAGTTGTTATTTACAATTTGTTATTATTCTTTTCCCCTTTCTTGTTTGAAAAAACCTGGGAATCAAGGTTTGCCGAAAGCTCTCGGCCAGTCAAAGTGTACGGAGATGACCGAGCGACATGGTTAATGCCCGTACAATAATTTAGAAATACAAAATCAAGAAATTCAAAAGAATTATACGGCATGTTAAGTGTAGATCTGTTTACTGTTTAAAATTGGTGCTATAGACGGTAAGCTTTTTTGAAAAGCTCTACTTGTAGAGATTTGCTCTTCATGTCATCTTTTACGACAGGTATGGAACACTGGTAATTAATACCCTACATCACACCCTCCAGGCTAATGTGAGTTCAATTCATTCTACTGTGAACCTCAATGTTCATACATAGGCTATTGCCTGTTTATTTAATGATGGCTAGCATTTTTAAATAAGAGATAAACATCGTAAAGGAGACGAGAGTTAAACATTTTATGTTAAACTATTTATTTTATTAATCCCAAATAATTTCTTGATATGCGTAGCTCATACATTAACTTCGAAATAATAACAATAACCAGAAAGCGTGCTTTGCACCATGATAATGTTAAGGGGTTATGATGCCTCCTATACATGTCGTATTATATCAAAATTTATTGAATGAAAATATCACAGCTGGCATTTTACTGCAAGCAGTTTTTCTATTATACAAGAAAAAAAGAAAAGAAAAGCCTCTCACCATAGTTGTTAAAGCAATTGAAAGAAAAAAATCTTTAAACAATTAGAACAGTTTTGTTCAATATTTACTTCAAAATTAAAAAATAACATTTTTTAATTTCAATTTTTGTGCAGATTCTCAAGAGAAATCATAGACCGAGAAACAGGAGAGGACTCAAAATATGCGGGAAAGCCAGAATCCAAAAAGAGATCGATGTCACCCAACAGAACCGAGAGAAATCCAAAAGAGATCGATGTCACCCAAACAGAAACGAGAGGAAGCCCGAACCCAGAAAGAGATCGATGTCAACCAAAATCCAGAACCTAAAGGAAGCCCGAATCCAGAAAAAGATCGATGTTACCCAAAAGAACCTAGAGGAAACCCGAATCCAGTAAAAGATCGATGTTACCCAACAGAACCTAGAGGAAGCCTGAATCCAGTAAAAGATCGATGTTACCCAACAGAACCTAGAGGAAATCCGAATCCAGAAAAAGATCGATGGTTCCCAACAGAACTAAGAGGAAGCCCGTATCCAGAAAGAGATCGATGTCAACTAACAGAACCAGAGGAAGCCCGAATCCAGAAAGAGATCGATGTCAACCAACAGAACTGAGAGGAAGCCTGAATCCAGAAAGAGATCAATGTCATCCAACAGAACCGAAAGGAAGCCTCAATCCAGAAAGAGATCGATGTCATCCGACAGAACCGCCAGGAAGCCCAACTCCAGAAAGAGATCGATGTCACCCAACAGAACCTAGAGGGAGCCTTAATACAGAAAAAGATCTATGTCACCCAACAAAACCGAAAGAAAGCCCGAATCAATAAAGAAATCGATGTCAACCGACAGAACCGGGAGAAAACATGAATCCAGGAAGAGATCGATGTCACCAAACAGAACCGCGTGAACGTCAAAATCCAGAAAGAAAATGATATCATCCTACTGAACCGAAAGGAAGCCCGAATCCAGAAAGAGATCGATATCACCCAACAGAACCGAGAGGAAACCCAATCCAGAAAGATATTGATGTCGTCCAACAGAAACGCAAGGAAACCCGATTCCATAGAGAGATCGATGTCACCCAATATAAGCGAGAGGAAGCCCGAATCCAGAGAGAGATCAATGTCACCAAACAGAACCGAGAGAAAGCCCGAATCCAGAAAGAAATTGATGTCACCCTCAAGGAGATGGAGATACTCGAGAAATACATCATCTTTACTGCTGAATAAATTTCTTTTCAAATTCAAGTTCCTTAAATTTTTTATGTAAACAATCTGTACATTTTGTAATCGGTAAATGAAAGGAGATAGGAACCACAAAAGAGAGTCCGGAGCTATTTCCTGTAAAGGATGTCAGTTATAGGGACGGATTGGAGGCTATTGAATTGTTGATAACAATTTTTTAAAAAGCTTTCAAGTCTCCTGGGAATTTAAAAATTGAGAATACCCACCAATTTCTTATTTATATTACTAGTTGCAAGAAATTAAATCGAATATGATATCATATAAAAGTTATTCATTTTGTTAAAGTTGGAAGTTTCATTGTATTCAATTTTATAGAAATCAATTTGATTTAAAATTCAACATGTTGGGTTGCCCCATTAACGTCAAAACATGGCGTCAATGGGTTTTCAAAATATTATCCCGATACATTTACTTAAGGACAGATGACACAAACAATTTTTTTCTTTGGAATAGACTTTATACCATGTCAAAAATTTAAGAAAGTGGATAATTGTAAGCATTTTTTTCTCAAAAATAATGTGAAAATGAAATAAACTTGGAAAATATTACAAATATTATAATAATAAAAAAATAAAGACAAATTACACTCGGTAAAGGTTTACAGTTGAAAACAAATTTCAGAATATGAAACCTTTGTGCTAAAAGTGTAATATAAATTAAAAAATATATCATAGCCAAAGTTGAATTTTATTGAAGGAAATTTCAAAATGACAATTTTAATCAGCAATAAATTTAGGCTAAAATTTACCATTTAGCTTTTCCTTATAAAATTCACCCGGTTTGTTATATGTTTCTCAAGTTTAAATTACACTTTTTGCACCAAGGTAACATATTATGATTTTTTTTCAGCTGTAACAGTGTATTGAGTGTTTTGTCCATATTTTAATTATATTGAAATATTACAAATATTTTCCAAGTCTTTTTCACTTTCCAGTTCTTAGGAGAAATAAAATTCTGAAAATTATCCACTTTTTAAAACTTGTTTAAAAATTGTTTGTATAATCTGCCCTTAATCTGGTCCAATATCCATTTACTTAAAAATGTTTCTCTATAGATTGACATTTATTCTGAAAACAACCGTTTTAGTACCATGAATGTGTTTGTCAATTTGTTTTTTCCCCTTTTTAAACCGCGAAACTGAGCTGTCACAAGGTCATAATCTGTGAAATGCCTTTCTCTTTCCATGACCTTGTCTATCAACTGAAAAGTTTTTGCAAGATGTTTACAGATCTTTTCTTACAAATCGTCCTCGAATGATTCATGTACAATGTCTACATCATACAACTGTCCCCTGGGACATTTACACATAGTATTACCTGAAATCAGGTTTGTGGAACATTTCTGCTTTTTCAGAGTTTATTTTTGGAGTTTTCCATATAAAACACAAAATTGTATCGTCAACGTTAATTGCTGCTCTGCGATGTTCTACGCGTGACTTCTTTGGCCTTTTTCAATAAGGACTACATATCTTCTGGTATTAATTTCATTTCAACGAAAGAAACTAATCATTCATAACTTGGAATGTGAAACGATATTTAATTATAGTTCCTATATTCTGGATTCAACTCGATCTATAAATCACCCAAGTAGACTGCCAGCAAAAATTGGCCTAACTTCCGGTTAGCGTTTGGAAAGAAAATGTGTAAACCAAGGGGGATAAGCATACAGACAGGCAGACAGACAGCTAGACATACGGACAGTCAGTCAAGGAGGAAGGCTTAAATCTCTATAGGTTTCACTTGTAGCTGGGGGACTTATTATCAGGGTAATTAATAAATAAAAATCAAAGTTAATACTGTACATGATAAATATACTGCAATACATTAAATTTCATATGTCAACATGGCACTCACCTTAACAAGAATTATGCATGACATTTTCCGAGTAAAATTCCGTAATGACAATAATTATAATATTTCTTTAAAATATATTCAAATTATGCATAAAAATAGGAATTTTAATAAAAGATTTTACTGTTTTTTTTTTATTTTACATCAAACACTTACTCTCAAAAAATTAATATTCTCTACATATTTTTTTTTTAAATTTTTTTAGTTGAATGAATCTTTCGATCGTCCAAATTATTTTTAGATATCGATGTGGTAGTAGATAAGAATGTCAGTGTAGTACTGCTGAGTAGGGAAATACCTGAAGTAATGTGAACTCTGACCCTCTAAAATTACAGTTAAAACACCGGGATATCTTTAACTTACCTAGAAAAGTGTTCAAGTGTACTTAAATCAATTTGTTTCTTTTTGTTATTCTACCATTTCACAGTTACTCTGTAATATAATAATTATGTTTTTATGATGTTAACACTGATACAAATGTAGCACGTTCTTTACTTAACTTTGTAATATGCTCATTAGCTGCAGGCTCATTGCGTTTTGTGTTCTTTAATAACGTACGATTCAAAAGCATTCAAATCCTAATATTGAAACAGAGACGGAATATGTAGTCTGTATATATGTTAATTAAGGAATGAATTGTATATATTTTGTGCAATAAAATATGTTCAAACCAAGGAATGAATTAAATAGCAACCCAAATTATACTGTATAACCTGGGTTGGGGCAGTTTATGCTTTATAAACCGCCAAACGGTTTATAAAAAAGTGTAAACTGCTCCAATCCAGTTATAGAAGTATAATTTGGGTTGCTACTTAATTCATTCCTTATAATTCAATTTTCAATTATTAAAAATATAAAACAAGACAATTTCTCTGTATAAAATGCGTTCAAATTGTTCATATTTTAAACGTAACGTCAAGCGGATTGATACGATTTTCACGTAAGTCATCGTGACGAATGCAAACCAGATTATACTATTTAGATTAAATTTTTATCCAATCAAATGACGCGTTACAACTAAAATTAAACTATGAAAAAATATTTCATATTTCCTCAACTTTATTTTTTATAGTACAAAATGAAGTTCATGACCACCATATGTAAATCTAAAACAATTTACAACATTGTCTGTATTTCGGGTTGAGATTCTCGGGGTTAGTTCGTTACCAGCGTCGACTGCTTTCTGCCCAGGAGCTCAGTCTTTGATTGGCTATAATTATTATCGTCGTACATTTTTGGGTTCTTATATCCACAGAAACGTGATAATAACCGAAAATACCCTTTCTGTACAATTCTTAACCTTGCTGCATATATGATTGGGTCACAAATGGAATTCACCACCACAAGAATGCATAAATATCTGTTGGCACGATTAAGCATTTCGAATACTCTAATTCTACTGTCTAAATCGTGTAACTGAATCAGACCAGACACTTGGAAGACTAAATTTGGAAACCAGCAGACAACAAAAGTGCCGATGATAAGCGCCGAGGTTTTCAGTGCCTTAGTGTTGTGCAATGCGTCTTTATGAAGCGCTGTGCCCTCTGTGCTTACACGTCGCACAATACAAAATATTCTTGTATAAATGTATAACATGGCGACAGAACAAACTGCCACAGTGAATATCACAAAATATTCCGCCTGGAAATCAGAAAAGTTGGTAATTTCACAAAAATTTAAATATTGGAATTTCTCCGACTTTTGAAATCCCCCAAAGAAGGAAGAAAATCCACACAGAAATCCTATTATCCATAATATGATTATCATGAAGTTCGTCCGACAGCGGTTTAAAAGATGCACATATCGATAAGGCATCAAGATCGCTATATAGTGATCTATAGCTATTGCTAAAAGGTTCAACAGCGACATCATGTTTGCCATTTTGTGGAATGACAAGACACAAACTTTAATGCAGGCGGAGAGGAGACGGGAATTAGAATCGGGATCTTTTGATGAAGATGGCACATTGAAATGGTTGTTAACATCGTGCATAAATACACTGACTGAGACGAGAATATCGGATGCTGCGAGACTTATTATCACTTTGGTATGTGACGTCGAAGAGATTTGTGACGTAGCCATGATGGACACAACATTGAACAACAATGCAACAACACACAGAATAAAAGTCACAATAATCTCGGGCCGAGCCAAGTCCTCCCCTTCATACTGCTTCACGAAGGTAGAGTTGGACCTGTATGAAGCACTGAATCTTGATAAATTCAGACACAATCTTATTACGTATCTGATGTTAGTTCCATTGTATGCGTTTTGGCCCTCCTCACATAACCAATCCATTCGCCGGTCCGGCATCGTTACTCCTCCATTAACCATAGGCAAGTTTTCTTACTTTTGAGAACAACCATTCTGCTCGCCTTTACGACTGAAATAATAAATACAACTCCGTTTACACCACGGAATAAATACTGGCAAGATCGGATATATTCAACTTACGTCATTTCCATATTTTCCAGTCAAAACCTTATAATAGTTAATAATAGACAATGAAATGGGCGGGTAAAACTTGACACGGACTTCTGAGAAAACCCTGGATTGAAATTCCGGTTCGAAATTCATCTTCCTGGTTTATTTCAGTTTTTTATTACTCATATAGACCCCATACTTCCACTCAATCTGGTTGAATTAAAACAAGTCAACTGAGTAAAAGGACTTCGAGTGACCCATTACGCTTCAAGTCTTACCAAGGTACACAACTATTGTTTAACATAATATATTTAAAACAAACTGTGATATCTTGCTCTAGAATTCATTGCAGAAAGGCAGACAGACAAACACAGGACAAAGTGATCCCACTGCAGGAGACACAGAAAATATTCTGATTATAATTATTAGCATATAACTAAAAAGGACAACGACCATAAGCATGTATTCATTCATTTTAATTTTTTATACTTCATAATGATATTAAATGACATATTTTACAACGTACATCTGCAATACAGCAAACTCAAATTCTGTAATAAGTCATTCAACAAGTAGTTTATTATTTTCTTCTGTCAATCAGTTATCTTGCATTCATTTTATATATACCTCTGTTTGAGTTCAAAGTCAGTTAATGTGCACTCAAATAAAGCTCATTTTAAAAAAAAATCGGGTAAGAAATTTTTTAGATTATTCCAGTAATAAGTTTTTGCAGTGGTTTATAGATTTTTACTGATGCACGTACACGTAATTCCCCTTGGTTTTCGGTAAATAGCCAACGGGAAAATATTGCTCAAATATTGACCTTTTCAAGTCTTGGGTTACGTTGTACATGTATACTTTCATTTTAATAGAATAGAGATATATTATTTAAGAAGTAATCAATCATTTACTAAAATGCACAAGCTCAATCCACTATATTTTTATACCGTTCACCAAACTAAGCGAACCGTTCATAAAGCGAACAGAACAAAAAGAATTATCTGAAATTATTGTTCTTTCATACTTTTAATTACTTAGTAATGCCTATATTTCTTAACATTTCTCGGATATTATATTATTGGATGTTCTTCCTTCATTTTGTATTACATATGACATTTTCGTGTAAACCGTGATTTTGGAATAATATTTTTTTTTCATTTCATTACTTTAAAATGAAATGTATGGAAAGGCCAGTGATTAACTGCTTCCATGAATAATTCATATTGTGTACAAGTTCACCTTGGATGGCACGGATGTGATCTGCATGTCACATCTAACATGAATGTGACTTGCATGTCATTTCTTGTGGCCTATTTTGTTTTGATGTGCCATCTTTTTGCTAACTTTTTCATATGAAGTTTTCATTGTCTTGTCTTTCAGATACTTTTTCTAGTCAGTTTTGGGGGATCAGACATCATCTTATTTTACGTAACTGCTAATCAAGGCTTGTGAATCTGATCCCCTTCTTGTTTGTTAAATTGTTCACATTTATACCGTCATTTTAATAAATGACATTATTCATCTCTATAAAAGTGTTTTATTTGACTTGTACTAAATTAGCAAAAACAAGCTGCGGTGAGCTTGCATATAAGCATAAGAATACATAAAACGAATTATGCATAAAATGAAACAATTACATGTACTCTCTAAAAAGAAATCCGTTTTGTAATATGCAAGTGGTGTAGTAGCATGTTTCTGTATAATCTAGAATGTTATAGTCGAATTTTTACATTGTTCAGCTAAATATGCAATCTTTTCAACGGTCTATATCAATAGGATGATTTAATACTTTCTTTACATGTTTTTACCTAAATATGTTTGTCTACCAGGATCCCAAGACGTTGATACCAATTTTACACGAAGGGAAAACTTAACAATAAATTGATACAGTAAAAAAAACTGTTTTCGTGAATTTAATTTTTACCGATTTTACAGGGCTGTCTTGTTATAGCTGCAGATCTGTAGCGTTATGGTTTTATATATTTGTCTTTGACCTGATAACACTACAGATCCCGTTATGCAAAAAAGGTGCAATTTACGGCGCAATATGTTTTGCACCAATTTGGGGAGCATTTCTCCACCTTCTAGTTTTGGTAAATCAACCACCTTTCACTCCCTAATTCTAGGCACATTCTGTAGCCAATATGTTTATTTTATTCAACTCCCAACCATTTATAGTTGTCTCTAAAGGCAATAAACTCGCTTGAAGTGAATTTTCAGCAATCTAACAAATAATTTTAATCAAGCGATTTTATTACTTGTATAGACGACTGTAAAGGATTTGGAGATGGATAAAATATACAGATTAGTTAAAAACAACAAGCCTAGAATTAGGGAGTGAAAAGAAGTTAATTAACCTATGCTGGAAAGTGAAGAAAATCTCCCCAAAAGTGCGCCAAAAATTTTGTGCCGTAAATTGCACCTTTTTTGCATTGCAGGATCTGTAGCGTTACGGTCAAAGACAAATACTATAAAACCATAACGCTACAGATCTGCCGCCAGTCTTGTTATACATAACGTACCCAGTTCTTTCATCTTATCTCTTCTTCCTCACTGTCATTTCCCAAAGTCCTTTTAGAAACTATAGATTAAAAGAAGAACATAAAGAAGCATCATGGACCAGGTCTTTTGGCAAAAGTAATAGGCAAAGAAATATTTCAATTTGAATGAGTTTTAATAACTTTCACAAATAACGTTTTTATTAAGTTATTCTGACTCAATTCGAACTTTGTTCAGAAAGCTTGAGAACAATGCCAAAAATCGTTTTTACTAGTTTAAAAAATGAATACGGTATTTTTAGAAGTTATTGATTAATTATTGTGTAGAGTTTCATTCCATTCAATTTTACAGAAATCAATTCAATCAATTTAAAATCAATATGTTTCGATGTTTCGTTACCCTTACTACGTCAAAACATAGCGTCATGAGGTTTTCAAAATACATTTTACGCACTCTGGTCAAATATCCATTTACTTTTTTTAGTAAATGGATATTGGATCAGAGTGTGTAAAATGTACTTTGAATTAAAATTTAATTTGCTGACAATTTTTCAAGTACCATTATTTTGTTTGCGAACGTTTTATTTGACCTTTTTATACATACCGCGTAACTGAGCTACCATAAGGTCAGTAACTGTGAAACGCCTCCTCTTTCTAAAACCTTGCCTACTAAAAAAAGTTTTGGAAACATTTGTACATATCCATTTTTTTTTTACACATCGTTCTTGTTATTCATCAGGGTCTACACACTCATATGTCCTTAGGGCCATTTACACGCACATGAAAGACAAGCTTGAGGCATAATTTGTGCTTCCTCAAGCATTTTCAGAGTTAAGTTTGGAGTTTTCCAGATTACAAAAAATGATGTTGATTTTTCTTGACACTATCAACTTGTATTTTTTTTTAATTCAAAGAAATGGGGGGAGTTTTCTTTTTTAAGTACTGCATTTAGTTTATATGTAAGCTTAAATTAAACTTAACTTTAACTTAAATTTGGATGCTGATACTGAGAAGCTACTGAGCATTAAGAACACATCACCTTACAATGCAAATTTGCTTTATAATTTTATTCCGTACAACACGAAATCATATAGCAAAGAAAAAGAATTTACACTTTGATATATGAGTGCATAATATTCTAGTGCATAAATTTCACTGTGTGTCAGCCTAATCTTTTTTCTTCTGCTTAAGTGACCTGAGTTGACCCCGATTTTGAACGATCCTCATAACATTGAAAAGAAAATAGATATCCAAAAAGGTTTAATTGTAAGTGGTTACTGATTGTCATTTTTCTTCTTTATTTCATCCTCCCATTCACCATGTCTTGATACCCTCCATCAGACATAACAATTATACTATAGCTATCCATTATGGAGGGAATACAAGAAGGAACATCTGTACACGAGGATATTAATCAACTCCTCAAAATTTTACTTTTCTTTGATTTAAGTGTACAGTGGATTTTTATGTGTGTCAAGTACATGCATCTTGAAAATAACAGTCTGATAATACTTTTTCTACATATTTTGTTCTTTTTAATGGTAAATTAGCATTTGCAGATAAGTATTTAATGTAATGTGGAGAGAGTAAGATATAAGGAATTATCTTTTTACACCTTTTTTGACGAGTCTATCCTGCAGAAACTAATAAATCATGCTAAATGTCGTGTGTTCTCTCCATGGAAAAATGCAACTGGATTTATTCTGAAAAAAAAAGAAAACAAGTACAATGCATGAGGAAAAATGAGAGAATATCTGCTGGGATCGCAAATTCAGAAATTTAAAAGTGTGGAATTTTTTTTTATTATTCTCTGATATTGTCTTTAAGATAAGGTTTTTTTTTAGATATGTATAAATATCGAAACCCAAAATTAAAAATTAATTAGCTGATTATGATTTTATTTCATGAACAATGTTTTGTTTATTTTCAAGAGCATTTAAATGTGATTAAGACATGTTGAAGACACATTTCCTTTAACTTAATACTTTACTTACAATTGGGACTAGCAGAAAATATTATCTGAAGTCAAAAATTGTTGTTATGCAATTGCCTTAGATATATTCTACTTTAGGTCTATGGTAATTACATTTTTAACTCTTAACTTGAAAAGTGGGATGGTATAAAGTTATCCCGGATGTGCATTCAGCTGTACGTCCGTCCGTCCGTTCGTCCGTCTGTTACGCTTTGGGGTATCTCTCTTTTATCCACAACTTCTCTTAAACCATTGAATGAAATTTAATTAGAGTTTCACAGAATTTTTATAACATGCCATTACATATAGAAGGCGGGGTTATCATTTAGTGAGTTTAGTGCTCACAGCACACTCTAGTTTAAAAGATACACAATCATGTTTTAATAAGATGAGTATATATGTGAAATAGTTTAAAAGTGATTGATTATTAGTCGATGACGTGTGTAATTTTTTTTTGGAAAATAATGGCTGCAGCATTTCTTTGATCAT